ATATACCAGCCAATTGCAGACTTTATTTGTTCAGTATAAGTCCAATGAAGTTTAATGCACTAATCCAAGTGGAGGCCAAAAAGATCTTAATTTTAAGCAGAACAGGAAAAGCAATGAAGCTCTTTGACCACAATTCTCCCCGCGATCATTTAAAATGGCCTGCAGTTGGTGTGCATGACCGTTTGATTGGCTTGGGTTAACAGCGGCCTCAAAAGAAAGCCATTATGCTAGGGTAGAGCCATCTGAACACTCGGAAGTGCTAAACTGAAAAAAGAAAAAGCTTCACACTCTTGAGGGTGGGTCTTTTTCAAATCCAACAATTACCCACCACCCAAGCTTTCAACACCTCACAAGAGCCTGACAATTCATCTTGCTCAGAGCAATGAAGCACTACAAACCTGATGGATGAAAGGTTAAAAAAAAAGAAGAAAAGATTATTCACCAGCCACCCATTGTGCCAAAAAATACATTAAAAATCATTTAATAGACTGAAGAGGTGTGGAAAATCAAAAACCTGTATAAAAACAAAGACTCACTTTTACTATTTTTGAATCGGCTCAAAAAGATATGCCCTCTTTAGATGATTTGAGGAAAACTGGGTAATATAGGACACCAAGCTCTTGTGTACATTTCTTGCTTTATCACGAGCAATTTTACAGTAACACAGCAAAACAGCACTCTCCACTCTTAACCCCCTGGGGTTGAAGCCCGCACCAGTGCGGTCCGTCTCGTATTTTCTTTATGACCGCAAAAAGAACAAAATACTCCTTGAGTTTTAATCGTACAGATAAGAATAAGGTATCGTTTAAAATGGCAAAGGGTCTACTTTTATTTGTGTATAGTCATAATAACAACAACACAATGTGCTTTTAAAAAATAAAGAAAATAAACAGGGTGCGTTCTCTGCCGGCTCCGTCTCTGTCACCTCTCTTCACAGACACGTAAATAAAACAACATGAATCTCCGCGAATACTTGCCTCAAAGACATGAGAAATATATGTATAGAAAGCTTGAAATGTCTACTTTTAAATGAAGTCACATCCAAAACAAATGTTCTCTGTTAAAGTAATCCGTATGAAACCAACGCGATGTCCAGTTTTCCCATCTCAACTCATTAAATCTAATGCGGTCACGCCCACGCGCCAATCGCGTTTTTCAGATTTTAAGCATCCATGTGAGACGAGCGCGCATGTAAACACGCACATCACCTCCGCGTAAACAAACGTAAAGAGTTCATCACGGCTATTTTTTGTTTCTGGAAGACAACGCGCTGAGAGAAATAACCAAGAATTTACCTCACAACGCGATGCGTCGCGCAGCTGGATCCACTGGAGGATATCACTCTGATGAGTAGCCTAAGTTTACTTGCATCTGTTGTTATTGTGTTATTGTGACATAACTTGTGCACATTTTTACTAGTTAGACTTTTCCCAAACTATAATTCCTGACATGTATGAAATCAAGTTAAACATTTTGAAATATGTGTCATTTCATTGTCTAAAGGTCTCACAACGATAGGATGTTTGTTTAATGTTTTATAAAACATATAAAACCACAAGATATAAAAGTAGTGGGTGTGTTAACACTATGAATTAATGTTTGGCACAAAGGTGCGTTACTGATTAAATCTCAGTATTCAGATCAGTATGTTCAATCATGTGTCCTTGACCTTCAATGTGTATATTTTTATTAAACTGTATTATAAATAAAATACAAATAATAATCAAAAACCCACATTATTTTACTCTCCTCACTCTTTCTTACCTGCCTCAGTCACATTCATATTGATGGCCTATTATGGGAGGCCCTTTGTCTCTCAGGTGTGAATCACTCATGGCCATTGTCACTCCCTCGTATACAGGCTTTCGATCACGAAACATGTTTTTACAAATGTTAAATCAATATATTGTTTTCTGTGAAGCCCCCGTTAAACCAAAACTAGTCCTGCCGATTTGGTTCTCTAATATGACATCACGATGCATTAGGACTTAAGCCATTAATATGTTTTTTTTAAGATAGTGAAAACAAACACAAATGTCAGGGCATGTCAAAACTTCTCCAGGGCCCCAAAACACCCTCAGACCCCAGAGGGTTAAAGTTCTGGATGGAGCAATAAATGCTAAAAGCATTTTTAAGCATATCCATTTCCAATCCCACACCTCTTACGCCTGAAACCATCAGTAATACAAAGACAGGATTCCAAAGTAAGTAGTTTAAAGACCACTTGACCAGCCCTAACCGCCTCTTGTTCACATTGATTACAAGTATAATGTCGGCATCTGTCCCTCCCCTCATGTTTGCCATGATGCTTTCAGATCATTGCTCATTCAGACACCTCAATTAGCATGCCTGCTTCACAAACGAGCACAGAGTGGTGGATCTCAGCGGGGAGGAGAAGGGTCCACCTGACATGCTTACTAATACACCAACAGACCCAGTGGAGTGCCTATGACACCGCTTTCCACGGCACTGCCATGGATACCGTTACTATGGCAATGATCAAACATACACAAGCGTACAATACATGTCAATGTGTGCATTAGGGCTGTTTCAAAATCATTTTCATGACACTGTTTTTGTAGCTGAAAGAATTCACAACAACAATATTACTGTGATATAAAAGATTATAATGATATCAGTTAGGGCTGGGCGGTATGACGGTATATATCGTTACCGTGAAATAAAGTGTCTATCGTTAGAGATTTTGCTTTATTGTGTATTTTGCGGTATGCAAATATATCTGTGTAACACAGTATTGCTTAAACGTTATACACCTTTGTGTGCTAAGGAAACATGCATGAATGAGAAAATAGAGTGGTACGCACTTGCTAGATTTATTAAGTGCAATAAGCAGTGAAAAAGAACTCAATGCAGTGCTCGCGCTGACACACTCAGAAAGCACCTCTCAGACAGCATGTGATCACGAATTTGGGACGTGCATTATGTTTAATAAAGTTAAGTGCAATAAGCAGTGAAAAAGAACTCAATGCAGTGCTCGCACTGACTGACAAACAGCCGAAGCGCGCGCACTGAAAGCCCTTCTCTCGACTGCATGCGATATGATGAGCTTCCATATCCCTTCTGTGCTGTTCCTTTCATAAACATTCATGAAGCTAATTAACACTAGGGCTGGGCGGTATGATGGTATATATCGTTACCGCAAAATAAAGTGTCTATCGTTAGAGATTTTGCTATATCGCGTATTCCGCGGTATGCAAATATATCTGCGTAACACAGTACTGCTTAAACGTTATACACCTTTGAGTGCGAAGGAAACATGCATGAATGAGAAAATAAAGAGTGGGACACACTTGGTAGAGTTATTAAGTGCAATAAGCAGTGAAAAAGAACTCAATGCAGTGCTCGCGCTGACACACTCAGAAAGCACCTCTCAGACAGCATGTGATCACGAATTTGGGACGTGCATTATGTTTAATAAAGTTAAGTGCAATAAGCAGTGAAAAATAACTCAATGCAGTGCTCGCACTGACTGACAAACAGCCGAAGCGCGCGCACTGAAAGTCCTTCTCTCGACTGCATGCGATCGCAAAACCAGATCTCTCTCCGGTTTTATTGTGCTTGAATGGTCAAATACGCACACTGTTATGTCATAATGCCCGTCGTGTGGAGTATTCAAGTAAACACAGTCGGTTATATGTTAAATAAATGTAAAATGGTTGGGTGAAAACCGGATGTGTTTCAGTATATTGGATCCGTGCAGTCGGTCTTAAAGGGACAGCAGCCTTATTTACCTGCTGCTGTCTGTCATTATTAATGTTAATCATGTTTGATTGATACAGTGAAGACTATGCAGTGTTTTATTTTATACACTTTATTCAATTTCTGTAATATTTCTTACTACATGTTAAATAAACCTAGCATACTGTAGCTGAATAAATTAAAAGTTTATTTCATATTTATTTGTTCTGTTGTGCTTGTAATTTGCTTATTTTTCTTAATTTTAATTACAAAAAAAAAAAAATAGAATTAAAATTTCTCATATCGTGAAATAAGATTTTGGTCATATCGCCCACCCCTAATATCTGTCAAATTCATCTATTTTAAGTCGCGGGCAACCATCTTTAAGGTGTAATACTGCCTCCTACTATGATGGAGTGTCAACCAGGTAGTTACTGATGCCAATTTATTTACTACATTACCATAAGTGTAGCATTAACAAGACATCACTATTTTTAAATATCAGGATAATCGCCAATACCAGTATATTGCAACACCTTTAGTGTGAATCACTAACATAACGTACAGATTATCCACACTTCCAATCCAACTTCCTGTCCATTGACCAATCAAAAGCTCTCTGACTGTGAACTGGTAAATTACATTGAGCATCCACATTTCTCTCTGAATGATTACTTTTGGAGATGACAATGGCTTCCTTTATGAATGGGGAAACAGGAACGGACACCCGGATTTAGATCTCCCAAATACACCAATTAGCTTTCTCTCTTAAAAATAGATATCCTAATGATCCTGACCAATCATGGCTTGTAACTGTACAAAGTACACTTAAAAGCAAAAGCTACTGCATTATTTTCAAGGTGAACATGCTGTTCCATCCATGTATGGAGAGAGACCTTCTGCTCAGAGCAGA